CACTCTTTCTTCTTTTTTCCCTTTTCTTCAGATAATTTCAAATGCTCTGTCTTTGGGTTTGCTAATTTTTCTGCTTGATCTAGTCTGCTGTTGAACAATTCCATTGACATTTTTAGTTCAGTTATTTGTTATATTCTTCAGCTCCAAGACTATTGTTTGGTTCTTTTAAAAATTTTTCTATCTCTGCTGAAATTCTCATTTTGTTCATGTAATGTTCTCCTGAGCTCATTGGGCATCTTTATGATGATTAGTTTGTATTCTCTGTCAGGTAATTCAAATACTACCATTTCATATGGGTCCATTTTGGAGCTCTGTCTTATTTGTTGGACTATGTTTCTCTGTTACTTCTTCTTTACTCTTTATGTTAGTATCTGTGCAATAGAAAAAAATAACTATCTCTCTTAGTCTTCAAAATTGGCCTCATATAGAAGACCCTCAGCAAAGCCTGGTCAGAGATTCTGGAGGGCTTCTCAAACCTTCATACTAGTTTCAGCTGCCTTTTGTTTTTAAGCATCTCTCAGGCATCTAGAATATGATGGGTCTTGTCAGTAATTTGAGACAGGTTAGATAGAAGCCCAGCTCCTTGGAGAGCCACCAGAAGAGTTAGAAGGTTGTATGCATGGTCCAATTGTCTCCCACCCAAGTGAGAAGCTGGGATATGGGTTTTATTTTCCTGCTTGCTTTGCATTGAGCCTGTTGTAAAAACTATGGCAAGTGTTTTCATGCTGGTCCAAGATACCATTTTCGTTCTCAAACCATGCCCTCCTAATATCATCACTCTACTCCTCTGTCTTGACTTCTCATCACTGAAACCCATAGTGGCAAATGAATAGTAAAAAAAGATGGAAAAAGAAGCTGGAAAAATAACTTAGTAGATGTATGCAAGAAATTTTACTATCAAATGGAAACAAAATAGTTTAATAATACACTAAAACAAGAGGATTCTCTCTCTCTCTCTCTTTTTTTTTTTTTTTTTTTTTTGCCATAACAGAAGCAAGGAACAGTAGATACCTTTCCAAATTTATTTTTTTACTGCAATTTTTAGCCAAATTATTCACTACTGATTTTCAATCCAAAGTTTGGAATTTAAAGAGGTTTGTGTGACTTCTATACAACTTTCTCTTTTCCATTAAGCTCTCATAGTCTCTTGAAATCACATTATCTACTTAGCTAATGTCAACAACTGCCCCAAACTGATCATTAGGTTTGCTGTTTTAGTCTTATTAAGCCTTTAAATATATAGGGCTTATCTTAATTTTTAAAATGTGTTGGCTTACTAGAAAAGCTACAACCCAAAATGAAATCAACTGCTAAGATAATGACCACACTGGATAAATATATTGACATTCTGAGTAAATTTTAATCTGCTACAAACAGTAGATCTTTCTAATTCTCTAAACAATTCTCAAATTTAAAAAACTGGATCAGTAGGGTGATTAGAAACTTCTTGCTATTACCTGATGCATCCATGATAGAGACAGAAGTAAACAAAAGTACCTTGATTTAGCTTGTTTCACTTTCCACATCTTCATCCATGTGGTTATCATAGTTCTGGCTCTGATTAAGTTTGGTATAATTTTGGTAAGTATGCATAGATTATATTTAAATTATGAAGTATATTTTAATAATCCATATTGCCAATGACTAAGTGAAGTTTGAAAATAGGATCACATTCAATATCAAATTGAATAATGATATAAACATAATTAGAAATAATTGAGTGAGGAATGATATATGAGCAAAACCTTAGCCATGAAGGTTAATATAGTTTCTCATGTTTAAATGCCTCAAGGAAATAAAACTAACAAGAAGCGAAAATGAAATTTTAAATCTGAACAATTAATATTTGTTGAATTGTTGTAAGGAATGGAATACTATAATAAAAAAAGTGTACCATTCTGCTCATGTCATATGCACATTTGTATAATCATGCATACTTCCTGCAGAAACATCTCAATGGTTCTATTGAGATTGTGAGTGAAAGCATTAAGTAAATATTTTGAGACTTTTAAAAGTATTTTCTATAAGGTTTGATAATGCTAATTGCATATTTATACATTATTGCATCAATTGAATTTAGAAATATACTTTACCTTTTTATAATTTTCCTTTTAATGATGTGACATATACACACACACACACACACACACACACACACACACACATATCTTGATAAAGTCACTTGAAATATGAGTGAATCTTTTAGCTTTAAGTATTAAACTGCACAAATGTTGGGATACTGTCTTCCAAATACGTGTAGTAGGTTAGTCTATGAGGAATCTAAAATGTGCAATCAAGCCACTACATCTGTGAGGGTTGACCCAATACAACATTTTAGAAATCATCAGCTTTCTCCAGCTCATTTAGAGAAACAAAAATAAAAAAAAATAAAAACAACATTAATATGTCAAAGACTAAAAAAATTTCTATAAAGTCCAAACTTTTTGGTGAAATTTTCCTAAAAAGGTCAAGTGGATATTGACTTTGCTTTGAATACTCATCATGACCCCAAGGATGTTTAGATGGAAATGCAGTGGGTGGACTTTTGTGTCAGCTTAAGAATCAGGCACAAAGTGTTCCCATCCCTTGCTCAGGCAATTTGAGCATACTTCTGGCGTATTTCTGAACTTGTTTTTGTTAATACAAAGATTATAACTCCAACTCAATTTACTGTAGAGCATTTTTGAATCACCAAATAGTTTATTGAGCTGATTCTACCAAGTTCTATGTAAAGCTGACATTATCATGTAATCAGTTTATAGCCCTCCAACAGTCATAGGCTGAAATGTGCCCCCCTCCTACCCCAAATTTATATATTGAAGCCCTAAACCCCAGTGCTTCAAAATGTGACAATATTTGGAGATAGGTCTTTAAAGACATAATTAAGTTAATATGAAGTCATTAGGATGGTCCCTAATCCAGTATAACTGGCATTTTTATAAAAAGAAGAGATTTGGACATACACATAGACATACATAGAGGGAAGGCCATATAAAGGCATGGCCACAGCTGTCTGCAAGCCCAGGAGAGAAATCTCAGAAGAAACCAACACTGCTAACACACTGATCTTGGACTTCCGGCCTCCAGGACTGTGAGAAAATATATTTTGATTCTTCATTTAAGCCATTGAATCTGTGTTACTGTGTTATAGCAGCCCCAGCAAACTAATGCACCAACTCAGAAATATTTTGAGAAGGTCTCCTCTGATGCAAAAACACATGAGAATTTTATCCTTCATTTTATCATAAATCTGTAGATGATCACTCCAACATAAGACATCTTAGGCTTTCTTAGAAAGAAATTTATATACAGTTGACCCTTCAACAATACAGGTTTGAACTTGTATGGGTCCAAATCCACTTATATGTGAATTTTCTTCTCTCCCTACCACTCCTAGAACAGCAAGACCAACACTTCCTTCTCCCTATTCCCCTCCTCAGCCTACTCAACATGAAAATAATGAGGATGAAGACCTTTATAATGATCCACTTCCACTTAAATATATTTATCTCTCTATGATTTTAAAAACATTTTCTTGTTTCTATCTTTATTATAAGAATACAGTATATAATACACATGACATGCAAAATGTGTGTTAATCAACTGTTTATGTTAATTGGCAAGGCTTCCAGTCAACAGCAGACTATTAATAGTTAAAGTTTGGGAGAGTAAAAGTTACATGCAAATTTTTTCAACTGTGCAGGAAACCAGCACCCCTAAACCCTGCATCATTCAAGACTCGTGTGTGTGTGTGTGTGCATGTGCATGCACGTGTGTATACATAGTTCCTGACTTATGATGGACTGACCATTTTTTAATTTTATGATGGTGCAAAAGTGATATGTGTTTCGTAGGAAATAATACTTCAAATTTTGAATTTTGAACGTTTCCCAGGCTAGCAATGTGTGTTATCTTGTGAAGCTGGGCAGCAGTGAGCCAAATGATCAGCAGTGTACTCCACAGTGTATTATATTTAATGAATTATATGAGCTATTCAATACGTTATTACAAAATAACCTTTGTGTTTGATGATTTTGGCGAACTGTAGGCTAATGTAAGTGTTCTGAGCAGATTTAAGGTAGGTTATGTTAAGTCATAATGTTTGGTAGGTTAGGTATAGTGAATGCATTTTCTACTAACAATATTTTCAACTTCCATTGGGTTTATCAAGATGTAACCCCATTGTAAGCTGAGAAGCATCTCTCTATATATATATTTAAGGTAGGTTAGGTTAAGCCATAATGTTTGGTAGGTTAGGTATACTGAACGCATTTTCTACCTAACAACATTTTCAACGTACATTGGGTTTATCACGATATAACCCCATTGTAAGCTGAGAAGCATCTCTCTATATATATGTAAAGATAACAAAACACCCTAATGAGAAATAAGACAGTGGCATGCCAAGACAGAAGCAATAACTATAGCAAAGAATGGTCTTTTTTAAAGATTTCAGAATTTAGCAATGAATCATAGCGTATGGAGGAGATAATAATGATGATATTACTTATAATATAGAAACCATAATCAATTCTCCCTAGAAAGAGCACTACAATATTATCCCCATTTTTAAATGTGACATAGGCTGCCCAGGTATATGTTATTTAGGGATACTGATATTAATAACAATATTTTAGATACTGATACGAATATATAGATATTAGTATCTATACTAATATTTTAGATACTAATACTAATAGATACTGATACTAATAACAATATTTTGCAATAACAAAATAACAAGCATTTACTGAGTGCTCACTATGTGCCAAGTTCTATAATGAAGTCTCACATGGTTTATCACCTTCACTGCTCACAACAGCCCTATGAATGAGGTAATATGAGAAATCAAGTTCAGAGATGCTACTGATAACCAATAGATTCAGAGAACTGCTATATACTAGATGAATTGGAGTTGTTGGGCTGTTATAAAATCAAGTTTTTGAAAGGCAACTTGAATCCTTAGCAATCACAATGTCTATGGATAGTGAAAGCCTTACCTGACGGCATTTCTAGATTGAAGGCATTCATAAGTCTTGACAATAGTTCTTGCAGTTCCTCTTCCTCCAGCTCATCCTTTCTCTCCTTGATGTTACCTGCTTCTTTCCTTTCCACAGCTGCCACAGCAGGACTGCTCATTTCATCAGGAGCCTTTTTGGGGGTATCTGGCTTCAGTCCCTCCTGACAACTGGGTAGGGCGCTAATGACTTTTTTCAGCATCATTTGTGTGTGACTTTGTGCTCTGGTGCTGTGCAATGTGGTCTCTGGTGATTTTGGATTTTGCAGAGCATGCTCTGCATTTGTGTGACTTCTGTGACTTCTGTCAACCTCCTCAGGATTAGGAACAGGTTCCCATCTTGAACCATCTTCGGTGGCATTCTTGATCTGCAAATAATCCCCTCTCTTTGGAACTTTTTCAGTTGGAGAATGGTCAACCTTGGTCTCCACACCGTGAAAGGAAGAAGATGAAGGATGGGGTGGCTGCAACCTTGCCTGGGATTACAGGTAAAGAAAACTTTATGAAGAAATTAACATTTATCTTACCTTTTCGTAAATGCATTATATTTCAACATTCCAACAGAGCATTCTAATACAAGACTTTTCTTTCTCCTCTGAAAATATATTATCATTACTATTAATTTTAATTTATGCTGCTAATTCTATGTCAACATAAAACTCTCTACAAGAGTTGGAACAGCTCAAGTTCTAAAATAACAGAGGGAATAATTACAAGAAATTTAAGAAAATTCTAGGTTCTAAAAAGCCCAGGTTCTAAAAATATCTTAAGGAATTTCTGAAAACATAAGCATATATGAATTGACAGATTAAAATCATTACAATAAAGCAGGTTTATAATAATCTTTCTGGTAGGTATGTTGTGAGGGGCTTCACAGTAAGCCACAGGTATAAAATCTAGAGATGTGCACCTTGTGAAGCACTGTTCTCAATGTGTGGCCCGCAGACCCTAGAAGATCCCCAAGACTCTTCTAGGGGTTTGCGAAGTCAAAATTATGTTCATAAGGACACTCAGATATGATTTGTTTATTGTATTGACATGTGCACTGATGATGCAAGATCAGTAAGTAAAGCTGCTGGTTCTTTAGCATGAATCAAGACAGCGACATCAAACAGCCCTAATTATCAGGGTATTCTTCACCCTCATTCACTAGCAGTGAAAAAAAAAAAAGCCAGTTCTGCTTAACAACACCTTTGATGGAATAGACAAATTTCTTAGTTTAAAAAATATTAACAAGTCTTTTAAATATTTTGTGTGATAACGTGTGAAGTGTGCATAAGACACTTCTAATGTGTACTGAAATAAAAGAGTTGCCTATGTGTCAAAGAAAGACTGACAGATTATGATTATTCAGACTTGGGTATTTGTCAGTTCCTCAGAAATGAACAAAGCAAGAATGCCACTGCAAGGAAAACAATTAGCAGTATTTGCTGTCAGTTATAACAGTTAAGGCTGGGTGCCGTGGCTAATGTCTGTAATCCCAGTACTTTGGGGGGTTGAGATGGGAGGATTGCTTGTGGCTAGGAGTTCAAGACCAGTCTGGACAACATAGTGAGACCCTCCTTGCTACAAAAAATTTAAAAATTAGCTCAGTGTGCTGACATGAGCCTGAGATCTTAGCTAGCCATGAGGTTGAGGTGGGAGGATTGCTTGAGCTCCAGGAGTTCAAGGCTGCAGTGAGCTGTGATCTTGCCGCTGCACTCCAGCCTGGGTGACAGAGCAAGACCCTGTCTAAAATATATATTGACATGCATAAAAAAGCAGGCTTTCAAGCAAAAATTAGAATTTTGGAAAACTTGCATCTACCACCATGAGCTTGATAGCTTTCCATTTCTTAAACAATTTTTAATGAGATTAGTAGTGACATTAATGAATGTGAATTTTTTGATCCTGTTTAATAAAATGAATGAGCATTAGGACATTCAGCATAGCTCGATGAACCAATATTTTCCAAATGATCAATGTATAGTGTTACACATTCATGCACGGCTAGGTGACCCATTCAAAGACCATATAAGAACGCTGAATATTAATGAAACAGTGTGACATAAATATGGTTTCAGGTTCCATATGGAAACTATCCTTTAAGAAGCTGTCCTCTATCATGTTTTGGGCTAGTATAAAAGAGAAGTATTTCTCAGTATCTGAAAGGCTATTAATATACTCATCTCTCTTTCAATTGCAAATCTGTGTGAGGCCTGATTTCTTCAGATACTTCAACCAAAACACATTGCAGCAGATTGATTGCTGAAGTGGTTACAGAAATTTAGCTGTCTTTTATTAAGCCAGGTATTTAAAGAGATTTGTGAAAAATGTAAAGCAATGCCACTCCCCTAAGGTTTTTAGAAAAACGTGTTGTTTAAAAATGTTATCTATATATTTAATGGGCTTATTAATTTTATGTTTTAGATAGTGAATACATTTTAACTTCTCAGTTTTAATTTGCATTAATTTTGTTACTTATTTCACTTATTTAACAATTCAGTTTTAATCTCATTAACTTTATTCTTTAATTTTATTAATTTAATTTTCATTAATTAATTTTCATTTTGTTTCTGTGGTTATGTCTATAACAATAGATATAGATACAAATAGATATAACCACAGAACCAAAATCCCCTTGGGGTTCTCAAATATTTGTAAGAATGTACAAAGAATCCTGAGACCAAAAGGTTAAAAAACTGATGCTATAAAGAATCACTTTGCCCCAAAGTCTATTGTTCCCAAATGGTACAGATCTTGTTGTCTTTCAATGACACTACCTTCATGGAGGAATAGGATATAGCTTGGAGGATGGAAGTGGGAGGTCAGGGTATGGGGAGAGGACTCAAGGGAAGAGGCTGATCAAGGTAAGGTGGGAAGCTCCTCTCTTGGCTGAAGGACTCAAGGTTAGATTTCCAGGTGGTCCAGATGGCCAGTGCCTCTCACATTTTATACCTGTAGGTCCTGTCTTATCTGCTGTAGCTTGGTCCATAGACTATCCTGGTTGGTTTTGAGTCTGTGAATCTTTGTTTCAAATTGGCAACTTCTTTCTTCCCGGGAGGTGTATATAGCTTGCAGCTTGTCTTTGTATTGGTTTAACTGTTTTTTAAGAAGCCTGAAAATAGAACAGATGTGAGTGGTTTGGAAGGGTAAGGTGCCAGCACACTAATTAGAGCCCTGGTAAGATGTATTTCAGTCCTCCTTGTGAAAAAAGATGCTGGAAAACCCTGTGCCTCAACTGTTTTGTTTTTGTTTTGAGATGGAGCCTTGCTCTGTCACCCAGGCTAGAGAGTGCAGTGGCATGATGTAGGCTCACTGCAACCTCTGCCTCTTGGGTTCAAGTGATTCTTCTCAGTCTCCTAAGTAGTTGGGATTACAGGTGCGTGCCACCACACCCGGCTATTGGAAAACCCTGTGCTCAACTGTTATCTCACATCGATCAATACTGTTGACATTTTGTTCATCATGTGCAGCTGCCTTTGTGTATATTATGGATACAATTCCACTAAGCATTCCACTGGCTTTAGAAGTACTTCAGAAAACTCGCCAGGCATATTACAGGTTACTTTTGACAGCTTGCCTCTACTGGCTAATTAAATAGGAATATTGACTTTGTACTTTATCCTTTGTCTAGAAATACTCCATTCAGAATGATAGTGCACCCATCATGGCTGACCAGGAACACAGGGAGGAAGAATATTGCAATTGATGGATTGTGTGTCTACTTTGGCTTCTCTTTCTGTCAAGTTGTTCATTGGTTTAAGAATGAACTGAGAAGCTGGGTGCACTCATTCATGGGTGTGTGTGTGTGTGTGTGTGTGTGTGTGTGTGTGTAATCCCAGTGCTTTAGGAGGCCAAGCTGGGGCATCCCTTGAGGCCAGGAAATTGAGACCAGCCTGACCCCATACACACACACACACACACACACACACACAAATTAGCCGAGTGTGGTGGCACCTGTAGTCACAGCTACTTGGAAAGCTGAGGCAGGAGGATCACTGGAGCCCAGGAGTTAGAGGGTACAAAGAGATATAACCGCACCACCACTCTCCAGCCTGGCTAACAGAGCGAGACCCTGTCTCTGAAAAAACACATGAACCGGGTAGTCGGGTTAGGGCAATTCTTTAAAACAAAAGGCAGGCTATGTTGCTCATCTACTCAGAACCCTCCAGGGGTTCCCCTCCTCATTTAGAGTAAAAGGAAGTCCTTATAGAGGTGGCCAAGCCCCACAAAGATGGCACAGACCCCACTTCCGTCTCTGACCTCATCTCTCACTTTCCAGCTTATTCATTGCCCTGTTCCCAGCTTCAGGCTCCTCTTTGAATATCCCAGGCCTGTTCCCCGCTTAGAATCTGCTCTTCAACTCCCTCTGCCTGGACACTCTTTCCTCCCCAGGTCATTGCTCAGTTCCCTCACTCACCTCCTTCAAGTCTTTGTTCACAAGGTGCCTTTTCAGAAGTGCCCTTCTCTGACTGCCCTACTTGAATCCACAAACGACAACCCCAACCTCTCCTCCAGCATGGCCAAACTCTTCCCTTCTTTATTTGTCTCTGTGGCTTTTCACTATGTCTACATGTCTACAGAGCCTGCACAGTCCAGCCTACAAACTTCTAGACAGCCATGCAGTGACATAATACATGCTTTACTTATTATTTTACTTATATACTCTATTCCTTACTTAATTGCTTATTGTCTCTTTATTTTGGCAATTTTGCATGTGTGTGTGTGTGTGTGTGTGTGTGTGTGTGTGTATGTTGCCATGTCTTCTGGCCGAGGCATAAAATAGTTTCTATCATATAGTAGGTTTACAACTAAAATTGTTTAAATAAAGTAATTTTATTTGATCACTCGTGTTAGCATATTTGTGAAATTTGTGGAAATTGGCCATCTGGTATGAAATGCAATAATTCTGTGCTTTAGAACCTGTGAAATTCCTAACTGCACAGAGCCTGGGGAGTTCTTGAAATTTAGTTTGGGCTCCCATGCAAAGCAGGCATCTCTGAAAGATAGCCCTCTAACTTCCAAGACAGTCATACTCGGGTGAAACAGGAACCTGACTCCAAAATCCTTGCTAGTAATAGGAGTTTCAGGTATAACTTTATGATGGGTTTCTCAGACAGCAGTGAGCCCAGGGGTTTCACACAGCCAACAACCAAGAAGTATTCTCAGTCAGCCTGTCTAGACACCGTTTTCTGGACCTAATGTGTTGTGTTTGTTATGACAACTAACAAGAGGTGTCAGG